TTTCTTGAGATGTGTACTTAAGTTGACTTATAATTGATTCTAATCCTTGTCCTCTCTAGTTTGAATAGATTTTTATTCGTAAAAGTAAGGATTTTCCTATATATTTTTTATTATTGTTTCGGCCTTCAAGAATCAGTTAAACAAATAATTCTTTGTCAAAGGTACTAATTCTCTAAAATAAGCATTTGGGGCTTAATCTTGGCATTTGGTGAGTATTTTGTTTCATGCACCTGTTTTTTCTGCTTTATTATATTTTTTATTTTATGTACTGACTTCTCTCCATTAAGCAACTAATTGACCCCTATAGCAAGCTTTCAACCAACTCCCAAGTTAGATGACCATGAGGTACCAAGTTTTAAAGACCTTTACAGGTCTAATTACTTGAATAAAAAAGGCTTTGAAGAAGTTTCAAAATCAAGCCATTTCTTTTTTTTTTTTTTCAGTCAAGATTGGTGCAATGCCCTTTGTTAACTACCTATTCTCGAAAACCGAACTCTAACTTAATATTCTTGCCTAATTTCAGTTTGCTGGCTTTAGACAATCCACAAAATATTTTCGCACATGGAATCCTATCCATCTCAATGTTACCCTACACTAACTAGTTTAGGTATCTTCAAACTATCTTAAAAATACTTTATGGGTATACATATTTGTGACTTTCTAAATTTACATCAACTATGTATAATTTCCCCATAATATGAATCATATCATCAGCCTAGAATGCAAAACATAAATATCGCACTCAATAAGGACCAAGTTTCACATAAACAACCATCAATCAACTTAACATATAATATTTCCACAATTTTTAGTTTAATATATGATTCCAATATATACATCATTACCGGCAAGACCATCTAACCCACACAAACACACAAAAGCAATAAAAACAAAATAAAGAAAGCTTTTGTGAATTTCTGACTCATTTCTCTCTTTTTTTTCTTAACACTTGAGAGTCACACAAAAGCAATAAACTTTTTATATAATCGAGGTTAGATGATTCAGCCATCCCAAATTTAACATGTGCATCGCTCTCCATGTACAAAAATAAGAAAATATAATGTCTAATGAAGGGTAAAGAAGGGAAATGAGTACCCCCCTGATCAGTCTGATGACGATGGTGGTAGAAATGTGGAGAAGTCCCATTGCCTGACGGATTTGATGCTGAAGGTAGAGAGACAGACGTATGATCAAAGCAAAATGCTCTCTCAATAAACAGATTGTTGTCCCATCTTGTCTTGCATTCTGCGAACTCTATTATATACCTCGTCAACTAGAAATTATATGTCGTCAACCCAGACCACATAATGATCTATTTGACTGATCAGCAGATCAATCTCCCTATGTGTTTTGGCAATATCCTCCTGAATCAGAACAGTATCATGTCGGATTACCAAAACATCAGTATGTATAGTCCATACCGTTACCTTCACATCTTTGTTTGAAGTGCTGCTACTCGGCCTGAAATCCTGGCTAGTACCAATCGTGGTCATAAATAGGTGGCGAATTAGCTATGTGTCAATGACAGGCTTAGGCGATGGAACGAAAGGCATGTTAACATCTTCTGATGAGGACATTTGATATTTATTCATTTTATTTTCTAGTTAAGCTTTATTTATTATCTTGGACTCTTATTTAGAGAATTGGACTTGTATAGGTGGACTTGTATGGGCTCAGGCCTAGTCTCATTAGGGTTTGCTTTACTATTTAAACTTAGTTTTGCATTGTAATTTTTTAGTTGATGAATGAATAATTATTTTGGTGGCTCATGGCACACCCCTCTCCTTCTTCTGCCTTCTTCTGTTGAATTCTTCTTTTTCCCCCCTTAGTTCCCTATTTTGTCTGAATCTGTCTTTTTTTTTATTAATCATCCTATTGGTACTGCATTAAATTTGGTATCAAAGTCAAATCTTGGGTAATTTCTTTCCTATTACCCAAATCTCTTCGTATCTCATTCCCAAAGTTTGTTGGAACATCATAATTGAAAACGATTTAACATAAAAGCAACAGTTTCTTTTTTTGCCTTCACTTTTCTCACTTAGTTGCAAAAAAAAAAAAAACTGTTCATCGTACTGTTCACGGGTACTATTCACGATCGGAAATTTCAGTTTCGCATTCTCCTTAGTTTCTAAAAAAAATAAAAAAATAAAATAAAAATTCGTTGGCTGTTGCTACCACTGTGCTATTCCTTAAATTTTTAACACTTCAACCCTTTCTGCATGTGAGATTGACCTGAAGCATTTGAAGTATCAGATTGACTGAAGTATATAGTGATATATCCACTCGACAGGGTCGTGTTTTCTCCCACCCCGGGAGAGTTGATGAGGACGTCCGATATTTATTTATTTTATGTTCTAGTTAAGCTTTATTTATTATCTTGGACTCTTATTTAGAGAATTGGACTTGTATAGGCGGACTTGTATGGGCTTGGGACCAGTCTCGTTAGGGTTTGCTTTATTATTTAAACCTATTTTTACATTGTAATTTTCAGTTGATGAATGAATAATTATTTTGGTAGCTTATGGTGCATCCCTCTCATTCTTCTGCCTTCTTCTGTTGAATTCTTCTTCTCCCCCCTTAATTCCCTATTCTTTCTGAATCTATCTTCTTTTTCTATTAATTATCCTATTGGTGCAGCATCATCTTCGGTCCCTTGGTCCTCACTGGCCTAATGCTACTGTTGTCATTACTCATGCTTTTGATATTGTTGCCTAGATTGTAGAGAAGTTTCACACCTAATGTTTTGCAAATCCTACTAACTAGACTTGAGAAGATAAGCGTGTGATGACAGTATGCCAATGCAGCTAACCCAAAGATTCAATTGTATATGTAACTGCCCAAGTCAATCTTCATCCCTCTAACTAAATGATATAGAAACTTGGCCTTTACATTGTCGAATGTGGTCCGATGTAAAGTAGGATCAATGGTGTGGCATATAAAGTTCTATAGTAGTGTAATCGATGTGGTTAGCTCATTAGAATGCTATCAGTAGTAGACACTGGCCATGTATTCATTCTTTCGTATAATACTTGTACTAGCTAGGGCCAGTTGTGATCCAATGGGATAGGTACAATGTTGTTCCTCATCTACCCATAATATTTATCAATGACCTCCGGTATGAACATGATCCATTTGTCTCGTACCTATGTTTGATGTGCATGCTCAGTGCCCGATACATCAATATCTCTATTGAAATTAGTATAGAACTCCTGAATCAACATCTGATATATAGGGTGAGGTGGGTCGATGATCTTCTACCAGTTGGTTCTATGTACTAAGGTTTCAATCTGTTGTCCCATGAAATCTCCTAAAATCACTTGCCATTGGAGCAATACGCTCCAACGACATATAACTTGCTTAAATTGAGCACGATTCTTCGGATTCAATAAAAGAGTCCTTGCCATGCCCAATGAGGAGCCAACTTTCTCATTTTCCTTTGAGTTTCTTTTTGGCAGCATCTTTTCAAATAAAAGAGAAGGAACCATTAGGCCAAGGCACAATAAAAAAGGATCTAAATGATTAAACTATAGGAAAAATGACATGGGACATGGGGAGAAAAATGCTTGCAATGCAATTTGAACTTGAGAACGAAGGTTTAATGCATGTCACGCGTGCTAAAGCGAAGGGAGACGCAACCCAGGGGATACAATTGCAAATTGAGGATCGCTAGGACGCAATTTAGATTTGTGTCCCCAATGAACTTCATGTAGCATGTGTACCAAACGAGAATTCAAGCATGAGTAGGTGACATACTATGTACAACAAGTGTGTTGAGTGAATATGGTGTCCAAATTCAACCTAAAACTTCATACATGCATTTTACCGAACAGCTAATGTGCAATGAGTGTAATATGTATTTCAACGCTTGTTCCATCCACCAAAACACCCACAAAAACACAAAATCCATCAAAAACCAATCACTTAATTAAACAATGAGATAATATTTCATTGTTCATAATAGTGATGGCAACGGGCGGGTCTCCTCGCTTGGCCAAAACCGTGCCCCACCCCGCCTTAGACGGGACGGGACGGAGATGGGGCAACTTTTTACCTCATTTGTTGTCATGTTTAATTTTTTTATTTTTTATTTTTACATTTTGAAATTTTCGAATTATGTTATTATTAGAAGATAAAATACAAATTAAAAATAGATTTTTAACAAGTAAATTGTTTAGAAATAAAATTATTTATAATTTTTAAATTTTATTTTTTCTTCATGGGGCGGGGCATCCTCGCCTCACTCTGCCCCGCACCTCGCGACGGGGCGCCCCACCTACCCGCCCTGCCACTCAACCCGTTCGGAAGGGGGGGCGGGGCAGGGTAAATTTCCATCTCTAGTTCATAAATTCATATTCAAATTGAATTATATTTGTTATGCCAGTATGTATTCGAATTTAAAACCTTGAATCTTTTACATCTAATAATATGAGGAAATTTAGGTATAAAATGAAATAAATTCCTCTTTGATATCTGAACTTTACATATGCAAAGCCAAAAATAAATTCGTAGTGATTTTACCTATTTGTGGTTGATTGAGGATTTGATCTGTGAAATTTGTTCTTTGATGTTTAAGAACTGGAGGTTTGTATCCGCAAAAGGCCCTTATGAATAAATCTGAAAAGAGCAACTTACAAAATTTTTGAAAGGGTAACTTAGAGGGTGTTAGAAAAGGAAAGTATTTTCTACTCTTCATGAATAATGCATTCCATTTCTCAATTTTCTTAGGCCCCTGTTTGGTATCTATTTTTGTAAGAATGAAAATGAAAAATATAGTCATGAGGGATCCACATAAGATATAGACAGTCAAATATTGTGGTTTGATGTGATAGATAACGATAATATTTTTTATTTTTTGTGACCAAAAAAAATGTAAATTAAACGGGGCTTTAGTTTTTGGCAGTAACGGGCCTAATTTACCCAAAAAAATTCTATCACTTGGCCCAAGTTTACCGGACCCGGTGTCAGGCTTTCAGCTTGTGTGTATATACTTTCCAATTTCTCAACGTCAATTGCAAAGGCAAAGCATCGAAGCAAACCCTGTTCCTCTATTTCGCGCCTCCAGACTTCCTTCCGTAGCCGCACAAAGTCTCTAGCCAACCATTGTCCGGCTCCGCCATTGCCCCCTCTTCGCACAGAGAGACATCGACTGCGCAATATCGTCTCCCATAGCTCTATTCTTCGAAGCTTCTTTTCAGGTCAGTTTTTATGTATAATTTTTTTTAAATGATCAAATTAATTAATACCATCTAGAATCCCAAATCTTGCCTTTATTTGAATTTTACAGTGAAACTTTGTTACCAGTATAAAAATGTCGTCTCTGAGGAATGCTATCCCAAGAAGAGCTCACAAGGAACGTGCTCAGCCGTGAGTAATTTATTTTGTTCATTTTTTTCTCCGTTTTTTTCCCCTCAATGTGATTATTTTTACCGACTATATGATTTTGACCCCTTTTTATTCTGATCTTTGTTTTCTATGCCAGAGACTCAAGAAAAAAATTTGGGCTTCTTGAAAAACATAAGGATTATGTTAAGCGTGCAAGAGCCTATCATCAAAAGGAGCAGACTTTACAGGTAAATTATTGAACCCCTTGCCATTAACAACCTATTCAGGTTTTAAATTTTGTTTTTAACTATGTAAAATTCATTTTTTTGGTTACTGGTACTTACAGAAACTCAAGGAAAAGGCGGCATTTAGGAATCCCGATGAATTTTACTTCAAGATGATTAACACAAAAACCGCTGATGGAGTACACATGCCGAAGTAAGAGACTATCTAATAAAAATGCTATTTTATTCCCTAATTTTATTTTCATTCAATTCAACTTGATTTGTTGAGATGCAATTGAAGGGGCCAAGCAAACAAGTACTCAAAAGAAGAACTCATGTTGATGAAAACGCAAGACATGGGATATATCTTGCAGAAACTTCAAGCTGAGAGAAAGGTACGAGTTTTTATAGGGCAGATATGATTATGTTAGAAAAAATAGGTTAAGATATGATTTTGTTAGAACAAATAGTAGGCTTGGGCAATACCTGGAACCACACATTATGTTTCGGTAGTTCGTAAATGGAGCCGTTTGGGTCCTTGTAAATACTGGAACCAAACCCAAATCTGAACAGTTCTTGTTTGATTTCGGTTCTGTCCCAGCATTTTTATATACATTTAATAGACAGTTTCATATAAGCCCTTTTAGTACATGTACTTAACACGGTATTACTCAAAAATATGTGTAAGGGAGAAAGTTGAGCTAAAGAATCTTTAAGAAGCAAAATAGTGGATGCTAAAAGCCACGAAAACAGGAGAAAATTAAAATATCAAAAATTAAATTATAATGTGAGAATAAATTATTTTATTAGTAAATCTTATTTGATCCCTAATCGAGGCATATTAGAGTATATAATTTAATTATGAACAATGTTTAAATTCTTCTACTCTCAAAATGCATAACAAATACTAATTAGATACATAACTATATAGTATAAAGAAATTACAGTCCACATATTGAACTCACTTTATTTGAAGAAAAAGGAAAAATTATATATCAAATGAGGATCATGAACTGAAGATAACCACAACCCAAGCAATAAATATGTCGAGTTCATTTGCCATGCATTATAAAAAAAATTAAAAAATCACTTAAGTTTGTAAACAATGCAAAAAGTAAAAAGCTCAAATTGCAAAAAATACACACTTTTATTCATCATCTTACACCACAACCTACTTTGAACTTTTTGATTCAAGAAAAGCCCAAATTGTAAAGATTCATATGTACTAACCTTTGAAATTCAACAATTTGATTTGAGCCGAGCTGTAAAAAAGTAAGAGCCAGTCTTGATTTCTTAGGGTAAGAGTCTAGAGTTTTAGACTAATTACCATCCAAAGTAGGATTTTTTGGGTTTTATATATTTTTTACCTACCCTATTTAATTGTAAATAAAAAATATATAAAAATCGGTTTCTCTTGGGTACTCGCGGTTTTGGTTAAAGAACCAAGAACTGAATTGGACTTTCGGTTCTTGGTTCCGATTCCTAATTTATTTTTTTGAGAACCTCTAGTCCTGTTTGGTTTTGATTTGAGAGATGCAGCTCCGGTTAAAATGCCTAGGCCTAACAAATTGGTGAAATTTCAATTTACTTTGAGGGTAACCAATCATTCATGTTGCGTCCCTTTCAACCAACTGCATAACCCAGTTTAGTTATTAGTAGAGCTGGTTATTGTGAGGTTCCTTCTCTGGAGAAGATGTCATCAGTTGATGGCTTGCTGCTCCCCTCATAGCTTCTGCAGTGACCTTTTTTCATCTTAATTGTTCTATCATCAAGCCCCTAAAATGGGGGTGGTGAGGTAGCTGCAGATTTGTGCGGTGAATTTTCTTTACTTTAGCTGAAGTGGCACTGCAAGACTGATTGATAATTTTGTAGTTGTAATATGAAATGTCATTATACTAATCATTTTGTTTGATGCAGAAAATTGAAAAGCTAACTGCGTCATTGCATGTTACTGGCAATCAATCATCAAGCAAACATGTGTACTATGCCGAAGACAGGTAGATGATTGATTCTTCCATGTGATCTTCCATCTTTTTGCAATGTCAAAGCAGTTTCGTTTACTGATATAAATGTTTTACCTTTTTCCTTTATCTCGTTATTTGTTAACCTTTGAGATGTGTCTCCTGGTTTGGTCATTGTCAAATTTTTTTTTTTTTTTTTTTTTTTTTTTTTTTTTTTTTTTAACAATGGAAATTTAGATAAGACAATATACTAGAAAAGAAAACTGAATGCAATTTCGAAGATAAAAATTTTCATTTTTTTTTTTTTTTAACAATGGAAATTTAGATAAGACAATATACTAGAGAAGAAAACTGAATGCAATTTCGAAGATAAGTTCCAAACATCAGTTCAAAGTTTTTAAACCATTACAGAAGTTTCTCAAGCTTTTACTTCAAGCATTTCTTCATATAAAGAAGGCTTCTGTGGATTATTCAAAATTAGTGTCTAATCTCTGAATGTTACTGATTTGACTTTCATACAATGCCCTGTCATTATACTGCTGAAAATATTATTTGCATGGGCAAGGACAACATAAGTTAAAATTCTTTTATAGGTAAATGGGAGTTGTCCGTATTTTTTTGCTGTTGGAAGGAGTTGCCCTATTTTCTCTAGCCATTGAAGTTTTTTTGTGTTGAAGTATGATTGATAAAAACACCCCATTCACACTGAAAGAATATCTTCCACTTATTCTGAGTTTTAAATAAACCAGGAATTGGAATGCATTGATACATAAAAGGGGGTTACCACCTACCGTCTTTTCTTAAAATGGTGGGTTCCTTCATTTGATGATTTGTAAAAACTATTTTGTTTCCAATTATTTATTTAGATGATCTAAGTTACATTTACTGTTTATCTCTGCCTATTTACCGGTCCAATTAAAGGGAGAAATATTAAGGGCGCATGTATTTCTGTGAGTTGAAGTCCAGGGCTTGCTCAAGTGGCTGTTCTGCTGAGAAAATATTAGTAGGATGACTTTCAAGTCTTAATACACCCGAAAGTCTTAATACACCCGAAACTCATAATTGAGTGATAAAGGCAGATGTGGGAATAATGTTATATGTTCAGTTCATTAATCTGCATGGAAGCGCTGATTTTTGTTTTCTAGGTGCTGAAAAGGACAGAATGCCAATTCTTTCTTCTAAAGGCTGGTGTGCTCTGTGAATTTTGATGATGTCATGAATTACCTGTTCATGAATTGTGTCGTGAGCTTAGTGCCAAAGCATTTCTTTGCATATTTTAGAAATTGTAGAGAGAAAAATAGTGTGTAACAGTATACTGTAAGTTCTTTCTTACACAGTTAAAATTTATTTGTCTCTGTTCTTTTATTCCATTTTCAGGGAGGAAGCAAAACAAATAAAGTTAGAGATTTCGGAAAAAAAGAAAAAAACAATTGCTGAAGACTTGCCCAGTGATATTAAAAGGTAAATATGTGCTTTGTTCCAAGTAATTCTAAGATGCCGGGATCCCCCCTCCCCCAAATGAAGTCATTACTTGTCAAAGGCAATAGTTCACTGGCATCTTCACGTATGATTGTTGAAATATATATTATTAGTATTTAGGCATAATCACCCTATTATGTAAAATCTGCTTATAATTTCTGTTTTTTTGATTGACTATGTAGTCTATGTCGCTCTTTAAGGTTTTATCTTTTAGATACAACAACATACTCATAAATGAATGATGACAACATTTTTCCTGTCACATAACTGTGTGCTGGTATACTTCTTAGGACATGTTTACTCCTTCAATTTGGTTTACAATATGTAGGGCTTGTTTGACGTGGCTTTTGAAAAGTCAAAAGCTGCTTTTCGACCATTTGGTTAATTTTATGAAAATGCATCTTCTAGTTAGAAGAGCTTGTAGAAGGAGTTGGTCCAATACGACTTTCTCTAAAAGCACTTTTGGAATAAGATCTAAAAATTAGTTTCTAAACAAAAATCAAGGTAAGTCCTCAAAAAGCTCTTCTTTAGGAAGCAAAAGCAAAATCATGCCAAATGAGCTCTTAGATGATCTTGTCGAGCTACGTACGAGTTTAATCAGATGATAAACGTTATGATGTGGTATTTAATTTTAGAAATAGTGTGGCATCTATTTTTTGTTTAAAGAAGTTATTGGTTCGCTTTTATAATATAAATAATAAGTATGGTTCATGTGCAGGAAGATGGATGCTTCTTATAAAGAGCTCGAGGACAGAAAGAGTAGAGTGAAAGAATTAGAGAATATATACGGGAATATGGCTTCGCAAAAAGAATTACAGGTTTATCACGTAGAACTATATTATTTTTTCTTCAACATTTTTGTAGCATTGTAATGATATTAAATGCTTTTTTTGGATCAGAAAAAGGGCAAGAAACGCAAAGCTTCGGGAAGATGAAATTGTTAATCCATCCTCCAGACCCGTGTATAAGTGGTGAAAAGAAGGAAAACGATGAAGAGGTCAGATATATTCGTTTAGAAGTTGACGTAAGAATATATACACATTTGATCAATACCTTAGATATTAGATTTGCTTGTAGAAGCGCGTAATAACTTAGAAGTACGGTAATTTTACATTGAGTTGATTTTTAACGTTCTCCTTGGTAGATAGTTGTCCAAATTTTTATTTGATGGTGTTGGACGAACTGTTCTCTTTAATGTTACCAATTTTTAACCTACGTTTGGGGAAAACTTTGAAGATCAAGGTCTAGTTCAAGTGGTAAAAACAAAGTTTTTCCATGTCAATTTACCATTGATCAACTGATACTAATTCCATTTCTATTGCCCCCCGAATAATCCAAACATGAAGCTATAGAGCTGTGGAAATTGAAATTTACGACTCCGTTTCATTCTGATGTTAATATGAACAATTCATATTCAGAATTTGAAGTTCTATTCCAATATTAATTCATTTTTAATCCTGTGTTTTTTCTGGAATCAATTCTTGTTGTTCTTTCCAAAATTTTCATTGCTGGTATAAGATTCTTAAGAACCAGATTCGATGAACTTTAACATAGAGGAATGAGTGCTGATTCCAGGAACAGAAAAAACGAAAATTATTTCGTATTTATTTTCTTTGAATTCATATGTGATCAATATTGTTGGTACTAAATTGTTGGATGAGAAAAATATGATTAATTACCCGATTAACAGCCATTAGTTTCAAATTATCAAAGTAATAGTCAGTTGTTAAATTATCTTATTAACTATCCATAGTTTCGTTGAAGGAAAAAAGATGGATGTTTAATGAGAAAAGAATCAAGGCTTCCTATGCATTCATTCGTGGAGAAGCTTAGCTTGGTATTTTATGTGATCTTAGAAGAATAAATTTCTGTTAGTTACGGAAAAAATTAGGCATTTTGTTAGCAAAAGTGATTAAAAAACATATGAGAATATTTTCAATGATAGTGTAATATTGGGTGTAAACTGGCATCTTCAAAATTACTTTTGTATGTTCATTTACATCCTAATGGATTTTAATATAAATTTTGTGCTAACAAAAATATCTAAATTCGTTTTTCGCCTTTTGTGAGTGTTAAAAAAAATATATGTAAATTTATATCATTTTGACAGTCTATCAAGAAATGTAATTTGCATTTCCTTTACATTTCTTAATTGGAAATGTTTTTGACCATTTTGAAGTTTTAAATTACAATTTAGATTTAGTGTAAATTGCTAATCAATTTTTGGCTTTACATTTACAAAAGTATCACTTTTTTAAAATCTTTACAAGATTGTCAATTTTTGACATTTATGCCCCTTTAGATAATTAAAATATCCTACACGTCTTTCATTAGAAATTGATTTGATTAGATGGGAAAATAGTACAATTTTTTTTTAAAACATCACATCAAATGCTCGCAACTCACTACTTTATATATATATATAAGAATCCTCTTACTCCCTAAAAAAGTAAAAATCCTCTCATTCTCTTTCTCATTTCCTAAATCTAAACGGCTTAGTTTCCTCTCTCATTTCCTCTCGCTCAAGGCCGTTGGCGATGCTAAAATTCTCCATTTTTTTCGAGGCTTGAAGTCAAATAACTGTTAATCAGTCCACTGTTGACGAAAATCACCATTAATCTGTTGAGGTTTCTTTTTTCTTTCCTTTTGCATTTGTTGCTTCTTCTCTTCTGATTTTTCAGATTTAGGGGTATTTATTTTTTTATTCTTCACAATTTTTGCCCTAAATTGGTACAAAATATCACATTTTTTCAATTTTTGTTATCTATTTTTCTAGTTCTATGAAAATGTTAACATTATGGTTTATGTAAGATATCTATGAATTTATTTCTTATAATAATGTTTTTCACTTTTTTTTTTCATGTAAATAATGGTTATTAGTTATTATTGGGCAAATTGAGTTTGGGTTTAATTTTTGAGTTTATGAAATGAGTCAAGATTGAATTGGATATATTCTGGTCAACATGCACAAATAAGCTCGGTTAAGTGTGTCTTTATATGATTATTCATAGTTATTTAAATGTTATTTTAAGTGTTGGATCATTCTATTTTTCATTCTTGAAAATGCCTTTGCATTTACATATAAAATTTAGGGAAAATTGTAGCAGCAGTTCCTAACTTTTTTGTTCTGAGTAGATTTTATTCTAACCTTCATTTTATGCCAACAAAGATCCCTAACTTTTCATAAATATGCACCTGAGGTCCATTTGAATGGAAACCGTCAATTGACTCGAAAAATTCCTTGAACTATCTACTACCGCAACAGTTTTATTGGATGTTGACACCTTTTTGGACATTGTTTTTTGGACGGTGTTTTGGAGGTTTTATTGGATGTTGATTTCTTAATTTTCCTGATCAACTAACGGTATTTTGACCCGTTTCCATTCTAATGGATCTCATGTGCATATTTATGAAAAGTTAGGAATCTTCATTGGTACAAAATGAAGGTTAGGATAAAGTATGCAAAAAATAAAAAGGTTAAGGACTGTTGCTACAATTTTCTCTAAAACTTATGGTCAAGTATATGAAAAGTGGTGTTATTTGAAGCTATAAGTATAACACATATCATGTTTGTTATAACTTGACCATTCATGTCTTGGAAAACCAATATGAATGTGAAATGTAAATGTCAATTCTGGCAGTAACGAAATCATCTGTCGAGAACGACAAACTCTAAAATTCTCGACATTTGACCCACTTATCTCGATGGTTGTAGAAACCAAAAATTTTTAAACTTCTCTTCTACGTATGATTTTAGGGATTGAAATGTTTAATATATCATCTAAGCACCATTATTATTTCATGAAATATAAACATAATAGTTATGAATCCATCTATAGAGATAAACTGTTATTCTAGATAAAGCAGTCATTGAACCAAAAAGGTGTTTGCTTGGACTATCGGAAGGTCCATCGGCTAGCTAGGTAAATGAGGGGATTGGTATGTATTATCACTTTAATTCAAAAACTCATTTGTCCCACTGTTTGGAGTTTTTATATTTATGATTTCAAGCACGGTTGTTTTGTATAAAGATACTGACTTGAATGTTGGTAGCCCAAACTACTGAAGGGTCCGTTGACTAGATGGGTAAAGTAGGCAATTTATATGTGTTACTACTTTTAGTTTTAAAAAATAATTGCTCAACTGTTTTGATTTCTCAACCTTGCCATTTAAAAATTGATTATTTTGTATGAAGGTGTCGTCCTGAAAGGTACATGACCCGACAGTCACATTGGGTTTTTCTTTTTTCTTTTTTTTTCCCCGTTTATTCTTCGTTTTTTTCTATTTGATTTTTTATTTTTTTAGATTACTATATTTTTTCATCAATGTCGAGCTATCTCCAAACATTCCAAAGAGTTTGTCTAGAGAGTTTCTCCAAACTCTTCCCTTGCTCCGCACAGTTTTTTTTTTGTTTCTTTTTCATTTTTTTATTTGGTTTTTTATTTTTTTAGATTACCATATTTTTCACTAATGTCGAGGTATTTAACTATATACTTATTGGACTAACCTTCAAGATACCATCAATGAGCTAAAACAACAGTATAATCAAGCATAATCAAGAGAAATCTACGTTATTTACCTTTCAACAACAAAAATGAAAATAAAAAAAACAAACATTATTAAAAATTTAAAATCAGAACTCATCAACTTAAATGGCTGAAGACGTGGGCTTTTTTCCAAGACAAGTGTTCCATTAGAACTACTTCATCTTTTGCCATAATTCTTGTCTTGTCTTATAAAAAAAAATAAAAAAAATCGTTAATCTTTCGGAACAATTAAAACAAAATGATAATATCCTCTAAAAAAACCTAGAACCACATAATAAAATCAAACCATTATACATTCAATTCATAGCAAAATTCTATATTTACTTACCAAAAACCCTTGTTTTAACAATTTAGATTCAAACCTCTGTAAAAAGAAAACAAAAATAGAGAAAGCGAGGGAAAAAAAGAAAGGAAAAAAAAAAGAAACTGTTATCATAAAAGAAAAAAAAAAACAAAAATTTGCAAATGTTGTGCGAAGACTCTGCACATGGGAAAGCTCCGCATGTTTTGTGTGGGGACTCCGCACATTCTATTCTGTACGGAGTCTCCACACATGGGGAGACTCCACATGTTTTGTGCGGAGACTAGGCACAGAACTTTTCGTACAGTGCGGAGAGTTGGAGATAACTCTACTCACAACACGGAGAGTTTTCTTTTTCTTTTTTTTTTTCCTTTTTTTTATTGAAGCTTGCAATAGAATGGTTGCAGATGAAAGTACTAATGAAAAAAAAAGTTATATCATAGTTATTAAACAATAAATGTGAAACAATTATAAAATTAACAAGACTAAATGCTCTGTATTCCAACAAAAATGAATTTATTAAATTAACATCAATTCACCCAACTAAACTAAGATAACGCTAAGGCTATACTTTCCACGAAAATAATTAATTATAAAGCCTAAACAAGAAACATATCCACACACAACCGATAATTATTTTAGCAGAAAAAATTAACTTTCCATAGAGAGAGAGATGATGATAGGAAGATGAAAGCTAGCAAGGACAATCGAGAGAAAGTTGAAAAAACTACACATATCTAAACAAAATTCATTAAAGAAAAAATTGGAGAGAGAGAGAGAGAGACAACATTTACTTGCCAAAAACCCTCGTTTCAATAATTTAGCTTCAAATCTCTGTAAAAAGAAAACAAAAATAGGGAAAGCGGGGAAAAAAAGAAAGGAAAAAAACTGCTATTGCAAAAAGAAAAAAAAAAATTGTGTTGTACGAATTTTGTATTTATCATATTTTCATTAGCGTATAAATTTTATTTTTTGGAATGTTTTTGAAGTAATATTTAGAAATATTTCCATAATATAAGAAAATAATTGTAATTTTTTTTACAATTGCATAATAGTATTGTGTCCTCTAAAAAAAATATGTTTGTATATTTCATACTTGAATAAGAAATAGACGAGGTTATACAAACTATTTTGTCTGTATTTTTTGACAGCGTTGATATGTTTGAGTTGAATGTGAAGATTATATTTCTAAATTGTGTAATTTAATATTGAAAAATTGAAGATTAAACACAAAATTATAAATCGACTTGCATATTCATTTACGTTTATATTTTGTGCTTCATTTATTTTAATATTTATTTTTCGCTTATGTTAAAAAAAATTAAAATCTGGAATTTTTTTTGACATTCGGTTTGGTAAGTGAATGT